TGCAACTAAATATAGAAACAAAGGAACCGTAATTTTAAATATAATAATTGAACCTGTTGTTTGCAAAATTAATTAAATTCACAAAATAAAAATTAGAAAAATTAAATACCGATCGAGTGCTATAAATTTAAGAAGTGGAATTAATTACGTTGAATTATTAGCTGAAATAATTTCCAATAATTTTCACCTGACTGACAGACTTTTGTTTAATTAATCAACTGCTTGATTGATTATTCCCTGATTAGAGATAGTTCAAATTCTCTGCTGAAACTAGTTCAACTATTTCTTATCATCGCCCCAGTATCCACAACAGCTTCGTCTAAGGCATTTCGTGCTCGTGAGAAGGCGCAATCTGAGGGGACCATAATTAACACGGGATTATATGCTTTTAGGCGCACGAAGTCTACTTCCTCTAATAAAGGTAGAATCAATATTTAATTATCAGCTAAACGATAGATTGATATATATTTATAATTCAATTTTCAATCAAGGAAAATACGAAGGTGGGAATTTAAATACGATCCGAGGTGTTAGGAATTTCATTTTATCTTATCGTAATAATGGTCAGCGAACTGGTGAACCGCTGAATTCACATTGTTGCGAGCAAAGGGGGAACTGTTCGTAATTACACGAAAATTATGCGCCACGAGGACCACGGCACATTAATTTCACCGCATGCTCCAAATTTTTACCGGTTAATCAACGCCACGATTAACGAAGTTCCTCAGAAAACATGACAATTTGTGCAGCACTGTGACTTTTAGAGTGACTTTTACTTGACATAAATTAAAAGTAAAAACAATTCCGAAATGAAAATTTTATTTTAAAGCAAAGACAATTAAGCTGAGGAAATAATAAAAGCTAATCAGTTTCTTAATCATTCAAAAGCCCTGGGATATAAAACAATGGCTGCCAGATGGGAAACAGTCTCAAACCACCTGAAACTTTATTCCAAGAGAATAAAGACACTTTCTGCTTTCTTTTTCGTGGCAAATTGAGGGCACACAGGGTCGCTTATTAAGTTCGTTTCCGTAACAATTACTCGGTTGTGCTATAAGTAACCCAATGTTGGCCTCGAAAAGCCGACAGGCGAATCTCGTTACCCTGCTTACGTAATATTTCTCGGCTATTTTCCTGCCATGGAAAGCTTGTCTTTCTATTCAAGCATTATCCTACCATGTGTGCCATTCTGTTCGTCAAAATTAATAACGCGTGAAATTCCATTCAACTTCTAAAGGTTAAATGAAATTTTTAAGGTTGAGTGGATACCCAAAAATTCAAGTTAATATTTGGGTCCCAAAATTATGTGCTGAACGAACCTTCAGGGTCCCAGCTGACCCGATCCTCCCCGAGGCAGAATACCCAAATACCCCTAGAAATTTTCAAGGAAACTAATTTGAAAAATATTTTAAAAATACCCCTAGAAATTTTCAAGGAAACTAATTTGAAAAATATTTTAAAAATACCCCTAGAAATTTTCAAGGAAACTAATTTGAAAAATATTTTAAAAATACCCCTAGAAATTTTCAAGGAAACTAATTTGAAAAATATTTTAAAAATACCCCTAGAAATTTTCAAGGAAACTAATTTGAAAAATATTTAGAAAATACCCTTTGTAATTTCCATGGAATATAATTTGAAAAATATTTAGAAAATACCCTTAGAGATCTTTGTGGAATATAGTTTGTAAGATATTTAATTTTTGCCCCTCCTAGCTGCACGTTTCCTTAAAAGAAAATTAAATTCTTTGTTCGTGAATTATACAGAACTTCCTCCCATGGAAACAGTTTCGCGAATTGCAATCCGGTACAAAAGATGTCTAACGGGCAGGCGTTAACAAAGCTCGCAGTTCTTGCAGCAGTGAACTATCGCCACGTAAATTGTACCATCTTCGTGCCGGTTTACATGTAGGTAACAGTGTCTCACCGCAAAAACTGACAAACGGCCGTGCAAGTGCAGAAGACGCGTTCAAACTACCCTCGGCAAAACGCGGTCGGAAAGCTTGCAGCTTTCTAACGGAGGAGAAAAGTGTTCGCGTGAAATCTAATTTCTGTTTAATTATCGCGATTAACGACTCACGGTTCACTAATTACCGCGTTATCGAGTGGTTTCGTTCGTTTTCATTCGTTCAACTTTTCGATCACCAGTTCGTCTAATTAGGAAGATTAAACGTTTCATTATCAAACGAAATGTCTTCTTTTATCATTGAGAAAGACAGAGGACGAAACGAGAGAGGGAAAAAAAAATTCGCAATATCGTGGGTGGAGGACGGATATTGAAAGGGAGGAAATGAAATTCAGGGTGTTTCCTTTTTTCACGGTCGTTCGATTAACCGAGATGATTTTAGGGCAAATTAACGCCTCGGTGAAAGGTAACTCGATTTCTGAGATTATTTGAAAATAATGAAAGGAAGTTACTAGGAGCTGATTTAATGAGCAAATTAAAGAATTTCTAGGTGTTAGTCTAATCATTCCTCGACTCGGCTATAATTAAACCGTGATTGAGATATTTTTAATTGACCCAGTTGAATTATTGCTCTGTGAACGCATAAATGGATCGTTCAAGTGGCAAGTTGTATCTTCAAATCGCAATTCCAAGCAAATTACATTGTCGAGTGATGTTATCTTTCCGACAGCTTTCTTGCCATAACAAAATACACGTTCCCGTTGCCGGTGGCACAAGCAAAACATTACGTGTAATTTATGGGTACCATAGCAGGTTGTTTATAGGTGTTGAAACGTGCAAATACATTATCTGTTTATTATTTAAAAGAAATTGATGGAGTTTTTAAATGCGAATTTTTATTCTACTAAAGACTAACCGTGCATTGCCGACTCTCCGGACGGACCCTTATTTATAAAAAATCAATAAATGAAGAAGTTTCCAAGTCCCTAGATCTAGAATTTAATTAATGACATGTTACACGTATTAATTAAATTTGATATTTGCCAGGAATCTTCAAACAGGAAGCACGAACAAAAACGGATTAGTTAACCTACTTAAGCATGCACTGGTTATCGAAACACACTCGTACAGTACCCGGCGATTAATAAACCGCGACAGAAACCGGCGGCAGACAATATCTATCGCGTGTACGTTATTACACAGCCACATATTGATTCTGACGAGTTGCTAATTATGCACGCCTAGACGCCTAGCTTGATGCTTCCCGCTCGCTACTCTTCGTTCCTCTTCAGTCTCTCCCCCGTGCTCGATTCCAGCTTCTCCAGTTGTTCGTTTATGAATATACATTACATCGAGCGATGAATTTTCCGCCAAGGTACCCGGCACGCGTCTAATTATGCGGCTCGCCCTATCGTTCCGTAGCCCTGGCCACCGACTAATTATGATTAACATTTGCATAATTAGCGTTGCCCTGTAAAACCTAAGGTGTCTTTCCATGCTCGTAATTACAAATATATGTATACATTTCAAAGTTAATACGTGACAGGTAAATATAAAAATTTTAACTCGAGAGATTTTCTATTTTAATATGGCACTTGTAATAATTAGAAATTAATACTTTGGATAATTCAGCAAGAATTTAATATAGCAATTAATTAACCGTCAACCCATCACGTAGAGTTAATTGAATTTTGACAAAGAAAGTGCACGAATTACGAACAATTAATTAATACACCATAGAGATAGGTAGAACGATTTTAAGCAGCCCGACTAATAAGAGCGAACGGGAACGTAATCGTATTGTTTGGCGAAATGGCACGATAAGATTATCCTCGATAACTGTACGCGGTACAATGCTTAAGTGATGTACCTGTTTATGAAGTAGCTTCAAAGATTTGCATATCGCTCGAGTGTGCGCGGATTATGCGTTTAACTCCCATTCTATTTCCCGTGGCTCGGTCTCGACCTCTTGTGCAGGAATTTGCATCTCTTGGAAACGGCGCGGGCTAAAAGTACCTACCTGCGCGCCGAATCAGAGCGCGAAACGTTTCATTCGAGAGGCCCTCCGCGATGAATCGAGCCTCGAACCGGATCGATTTCGCCTCGATTCATCGAATTATTGCGGGTAATTGGAACTAAATGTATTTGAAAAGCTTTACGACCTTTGCTACTTTATTTTCCTCGAATTTCACGGTAAAAAGAGGGTGAAACATTCGGAAAATTAGAGATAAAATTTTGGAGCTGAAAAATGGAATTCTATACTAGTGAAAAGATTCATTTTTTTCAAGAAAGAATGGTAAAACCCCCTAGTTTCTCCTGGATTGTCCCTACCTCCAAATTTGCTCCGGTGCTTCTCCAGGTTCCAGGATTCCTGGTCCTAACCCCGGACTCCCACCCTCACCCTTGGGCGGTCCCGAGGAGAGTGACCCATATATATGTATATAGAGAATTCAAATTGATATAAAAGCTATCATTCGTACTCCTCAGTTATAATAATATATAATAATTAAAAGCTACATTATTTTTATTTCTATATTAATATTCTTAAAATTAATATTTTAAGAAGTTCTGCATTCCCTGTATCACCATCTTTCTTACCTTCGTCTTAAGTGAATTGTGAATGTAAAAAATTTGCATCCGAGCATACGTGGTAGAAATTATGGCGACCAGATCGATCCGCATCTTTGCAAAACGTACGGTTACGATTCGCCACGAGTTATTCATTGGCAAAGTTAGATGCCGGCCTGGATAATTTAAGTGGTTCCAGCTTATCGCGTGGCGGGCTTCTTATAGTGTTTCCCATGACTTATGCGAGCACATATCGGTCGGTGATACAGCATTTTCGCGCCGCGTGTCTGTAAACCATGCTATCGTGGACGGCAAGTTTATGAAATATCGACGCAAAGTTTTGCGCAGATATTTGTGCACCACGGCAACGATTTAAGGGGATTAATCGTATTATAAAATTGATGGTGCCCTAGAATTTTCTCGTAAAATCACCTCAACGATTCTCTTGATAAATTGATTTTACAGAAGCAAAATCACTTACTTCATAAAATGTTTTCATTTGATTTTTAAAATAAATCAAATCTTACCTTATTTTGACGCGGTGATTATTCTGGGATCCTCCAAAAATATCCAATCACTTGTAGCTCTGGTACGGTCTGTAACAATAGAATGTCTATTATCAGAAACGTATTAAAAATAGGAGATCAATTTTATTACATCTGTGCGATGAGATGAAACAGATCTCCCAAGGGAACCAGATTATTTATTGAACGATAATAAATAATGAAATAGTATTTTAGAAATTTCGAAGCAAGATATTCTTGTTCTTCGAGAATTAATAATCAGTTCTAAGACGAGAAGATTCTAATAATTTTATTAACCGTAGATATAAAACCATAATAAACAGCACATCAGTCATACTAGTTAAATATTGAGCCAAAGTGCAATTGCACTCTAGAAATTCGATTTCCTAGAATCCATTATAAAAGACACTTCTACTTTAATCTCCTACAGGGTGTGGATTTCAATTGACTGAAAAGCGCATCCATGCTATACTACTCTTAATTGGTTCTGATCGATCCAATCCCCCTACTAATTAGTAACGACGACCTGTTAATGAGGTTTCTCGAGTCACATTCAGGTGTAAGGATGGAGAATGAAATAGGGTGTAAGGGAGTATTATTGCACAGAAAATTGTTACAAATTTAAATTAAACATAAAATAAATAAATAAATAAATAAAATAAAAATTTATTTTAAGGCATATTAGAAACCTAATATTATCAAATTTCAAATTATCTAACGCTGTTAGTATAATAATAATAATGTTGAAATTGAATTTTCTATTTCTAAAAATAAAAAATCACGAATCAAACAAAAAACCGTGTTCGTTATATGACACGGCTATTTGTTTCGCTAATTGCGAGCAAGTAATTACCAGTCAAGTCCACACTTGCTGGAATAATTCGAGAGGGAACCGGTTGTCCGTTTAATGCTAGCAAATGCGATCAGTCGTTTCAATTATCGAGGCGAAAAAGCTTGGTGAGCGGCTTTCTGTTCATTAACAGGGGTAGAGAATTAATTATCCGATAGAACATAAACCGATTAACCGGCCGCTAACAAATAAAAATGCAAGTTCCCCGTTCCGTTCGGTTTCATCTTTTCCCGGTAAATTCAGCGTGCACTCAATTACCGTGTGAAAAATGAAAAATAACAAACATGATGATGAAAGAAACCTAGGAAAATTAGACATTGTAATTAGAATCAAAATTAAATAATTACCTATTTACAAAAAAAAATTATAGCTAAATTTGAGTATTTCTACCAATAGATTAATTTTGAAATTATTGCTATGAAGAAAAAATTCATTTTCCTAAAAATAATAATTAGTCCTCTTATCAAAAAGATCCAACTTAATTACACCGACTAATCCGGTAAAAAATATTGTTTCAGCTCTGCCTCCGTTACAAAGTTAAAAAAGCAAGCTTGTAACATGCCGTGAATCAGAATTAACAAAGTAGCAGAAAATTTTCCAGGGTTCTTTCGTCCCATAACAGGCACGATACTCAATTGAAAACTTTCGACAACTATTTGGCTTCCGCGCCGCTGTAACTTCGAGCACGATCGTGATTTCTCTTTCCTGAAAGCCACGCTCCGGCTTTGCGACCCGTGCCAAAGGGTCGTTTATCCTTTTTATTCCTTTTATTTTTTGTTTTCGTTCTTTCCGTTGAAAGTAAACGAAACACGTAATAAGAAGCTTTCCTCGTGCAGCTTAACACTCTCACACGTTGCAAGCTTTTCCACGCGGTACTACACTGGCGTAGTTACTCAAGAATCTTGCTAATTAACCAGAAAAGCATTTCGCTCGAACATTACTCAACAAGAAAACTAGTAATGCGGGTGGCCGTTAAATCTGTCTGTGAAACTTTCCAAATATATATCCGGATTAAATTCAACCTTTCTATCGAATTTACTTTTCGGGAAAGTTTTATCTTCGCAAGCGGATCATTGAAAATTTACCTATCGATTTTAAGAGGAGCTTTAGAATTTTTTCAAATTGAAAATTTAACTAACGAAAAATTTAATTAACGCTCAGGGGTGTAAGGATAGCCGAAAATTCAAAATTGATATAACGAATGGTTGAGAATGATTACGATTGACTTAATCCATGAAACGTGAAAAATCGCGCTAGTCAGGCACTAAAATAGACGTGACTCGATTCCGAGGGCAACGAATTCGATTGGAAGAGTAACGTTTCCCGTGGAGGTTCATTCGTCAGCCTCGAGTATAATTGCTGTCAAGTAAAAGGGGCGCGATGTTAAACTATATCTCGTCGAAATGGTTGCAATTAAGGTCGAACAGCTCTTGGAGCAGCATTAATGGCTCGCATTACGCGCAGGTTACACGGATCGCGTGAAATGTTACATTATGAAACCTGTTAATTAAAAAAAAAAACAACAAATCCTTAACATAATATCCTACAATTATTCAATATCCGAATATCTAATCTCTCCCTGATATTCTAAATTTTCCACCAATTTCCTTAATTACCTAATTAATTCATAACGTGGCTTTCCAGTGACCCTCAAATTAAACCACGTAGCTTTCCACATCGCCCCAACACGTGTTACGTTAGCCAAGAGGAATGTCCATCACTCACGAGTGCCTCTTCGCTGAAAATGACTCACTAGTCCTAGGGCGGATCATCGTGACGCTTATTAAGTTTGAAAGTCTCCGTTGTGTCTCCAAGAAAGCCGACATCTCGCCTGCCACCCGGATCCGGCGACTCCCACAAGATCCGTCCGATCAATTTCCCCGTTGATTCGAAGCAATCAAACTTTCCAACAATTACCAGTCCTCCATGCACCGGCACCAGATCGACCGGATAAAAGAAGAAAAACCGACGGAAAGGCTTTTGTCACCGCGCTAGATCGTTCGGCTTGACTGACCCTTGCTTTTCGTTTCAGCAGATGAATTACACTTGCCGGTGAAAAGATGGGACCAGAAGGAAAAATGTAATAATTCTATTATTTCTTCTTCTCTTCGTCTTTCGTCAATGAACATTTCGTCAATGATCCACTCGTCGAGGAACAATCGTGTTACACTTCGCGTCGAGAGCTATTAAAGGAGTAAAGTGCAAGGGTAACTTGGCAAACAAAGCTAGAGATGCTTTGGAATTACGTGAAAGCATCAAGGGACAAAATCGACCCGACAAACAGAACTCTGGATGGTAGTAGCTCGTTTCGTTGATCGTTCCGCGGATCACGGAAACGTTCCTCCGCTCCGACGCGGCGTCGCGACGCTGCTATGCGAATCGACTTTCTGAAATTTCCTCTCGAAACGCTTGGTTACTTCTCGTTAAACTTCCGCGATTCCATCGTTTCGAGGCAATAGAAAATCAACTCGACTGACAGAGAATTTCTCCTTCGTCTTCTTTATAATACAACTCGAGCAATTAATAATTTATTATTATCAACAAATTTAATGGTTATCGTTTGTATATCATATTATTTTTTAAGGATTCTACTAATTTCTCATTTACATCCCTCTGGATCTCGAGTCGATAATAATATTTTCACTTGAATATTAACAGCCACTTCTGTTTAAGCATCATTATCTTTTTTATTTGCATAGAACGCTGTGTCAGTTCTGTGCCTGTCTTTGTACGTTCGTGAAACTTTCCCCGGCTTCAGGCTTGTTTGCCCATTTCCGAAGCGGTTTACCCCGCTCATCGACGTTTTAACGATTAAAAGTTGTTCACCTCTGCGGCCCGGATACCCGCAGCAACGCGAATCTTCGCAGACATTCATCCGTTTATCGACATCTTCGAAACTGGAGCAGCATTCTGACAATTTTTCGTGATTTTCCGAACGGAAAATCATTTTTTAGTAATATTTTTTTAATTTCTTACACGAAGTATTACTCCCTTAACGAATCATGCACATCCCCGGTAAATTTACCGTCCTTTGATCGTTTCTGACAGAGTGTCCTTACAAAGAACAAACGACGTCCTTTCAAAATTTGGATCTACGACCGCACCCACCCTTTCCACCAGAGGGGGGAAGGGCTCTTACTTTCGCCACGTTCCAGCCACGTACGTACTTAGGGACACGGCTGCGTCGCGCCAGTGGAAAACGGAAGCAGGAAGAAGCAGGGGGACGACAATAATTTACCACAAAGGCGAAACGTGGGGCAACGAGCACGAGGCCGGAGAACGGAAAGAAATAAATAACAGAGAGTGGGCGAACGCTGCAAGAATCGCAACTGTGCTAAAAGGACGTTCGCACGTTTCCAGTAAGGCCAACTTTCTTTTCATGGTGAGACGAGAAGAAGGAGAAGTGGAAGGGTGACGTACCTTCCAATTTATGAAGTGCTATCAAATTTCTCTCCTGGATTAATATTACCTTTTCATCCCTTTTCGAAACACCAATTGCCTTTTAACATTCTTAACCCTTTTGGTCTTGAAATCGAACAATTGAAAAAGAATTATTTTTATTAAAATATCGATAGTGTTTAATCATCTGTCTGGTTATAAACGAAAGGGTTAAAAGTTTCAGATGTAATGAAAAGGAAGAAAAGAATTTTAGTACGTTTCTGTACAAGGATCAAAGTATTAAGAAAGGATTTCAGGAGAGAAACAATGTATGTTCGGGAAGAAAGTTCAACCAGCGTAAGGATTTCGAGAAGATTATAATTAGAAAATGTGTAACATGTTTATGAGCGTTTGCGAAGAAACTTTTAACAGAATCTTCTTTATTTAACGAGCGTTCGATACTTGGGAAGCTATTACGATTTTATCGAATGTCTGACTAGCATTAAAAAGTTTAAGCTTCGATATTTTCAGGATATTTTCAGAGACACGTGTATGGGGTTTCAATTCACCCCCTGTAAAAAATCCCTCCTAATTAAACCTTAATTACGTTCATAATCAAATTATGGAGTACCAACACTTTTTATTTTACCCCTACCTCATTTTGGTCCACGAATGTTTGCTCATTCATCGATAAGAAATCAATCAATTTGTTAAATTTATCAGAATACCATAGAGAAACTGTATCAATTTTCTCGATCACTCGCGTGCGAGTAATTTCAATATTTCAATGGGTCGCCGGAAATCTTGGAAGTTGGAGCCGCAGGTCAAGCGAACGCTTTCACGA